CCACAACTGGTTGGTTGGAGACATTGAAGGATATGGCAGCGAACCAGCAGCAGTGGCGTTGTTGTTGTCGTTTCTTATCAGGTCAGAATGCTTGAAACGGTATGTATGCAGATTTCGATTGCGTACCGTGTGTTGACCATAGTGGCTCATCTTCTTCTCCCTTCCTCAAAATGAATCCAACCCCTGTCCAACTTAAATTTTACCACTAACCTTGTGTGCATTGTGAGTTTGGCAGCGGTCAGTGAAGTTCGCTTCACTGTATTTCGCTGTACGATGATGATGATGATGATGAATAAGCGTTGACCTTGGATAGGCAAGTGCCACACCCGAAGTCAGCCGGTCTACTCTAGCATTCATATTTCTTGCCAAAATCACGACATCAGCCCGGGTCGCGTTACGTAAGAGTACATATAACTTTTGGTAGGTTTCATCTTTGACTGCATCTGGACTGCAGTCCGCTAACAGGCCTCCAGTTTCGTCTATCGTGGCGACGGCTGCGCGCAACTTATTGTCTAATGCGATCCAAGCGCTGCGAGCTTCACCTCCCTTACTGTAAGCCACGTCAACGCCAGCAAGATCGAAAGCCGCAGCCTCGGGGTCCCCAGCATGGCGTAGGTGAAACTTCGGGGATTGGTTTGATTGTTCCCTAACCGGGCGATGAAGATGTAGTCTTGAACTCAAGTTTCCGGGATACAACACACGTAGATGTTTAGGGCCTCGAGCGCGCGAGCTAAACACCTCTATTGGCTTATACGTATCAAAGGATGCACATTAAGTTTGGCTAGTTCGAAATAGCATCGAGGACGAAGAAGGGCTTCAGCTGGTGGAGAATTCGATGAGACTTCGGAGGTAGTCGAGTTGGGACGCGAGAGAACAATAACAGAATTTCCATCCGAGACACTATTGTTAATACGATCTTCTGAAGAACCCGAGAGAAGTGGTGTGTGAGGGGATTGAGGGTAAAATGGAGTGGGGGAGAGGAACATGGGGCGTAGAATATTTTGCAGTGTGAAGAAGCTTTGGATTCGAGATTCTTGAGAGTAGTAGATTTGCATTTAAAAGAAAATAGTGAGCACTGTGTGATCTGAATGCATGTGATATACGCTACCTGGATGTTCATGTTAACTGCTCAAGTTGCAGAAAATTGATATACCATCAAATGAATCTTGTTTTCTTTGTTCACATCATTTTTCTGATTGCCAGAATAAAGTTTAATCCAAGAGTATTGACAGTGGGCCACTGTTTTTCCCCAATAACCTTTTTATAGTATGTTTTCCCTACGCTACTATCACGGATACAGACGCTTGATAAACCTTTGTGCATCTCGCTCCCATTTTCAGATGCTACGCAGAATATTCAACACTGGCTTCCGCGACGACGTGGTTTACCGTTTCGTTGTGGGCCTCACTCACGTGCCTGTCTACGTAAACGGGATCGATTCCAGACCGTATCCAGTCGTGTGTATCAGCGCATCCCGATCCGACTCAAACCTTCGGCAGTGTGTCAAACTCAGGTGCTTCAACGTCGCCATCGTCGTCGTTTCGAGTCAATAACCTCGACTACATCCCGTTCTGGTGGCCCGATGCTTGCATTCAAGACACAAATTCGTTTACTCACTTTACAACGACCGAGCTTGGTTCATAAAAATCACGTCTATCGGTATGTACTTGAAATAGTTTAAGAAACCATGAATTGCACTCATACGTAGGTTCGACTCTCATTGAGGTTTCTCAACTTTTCACTAATAGATCCTATTGTAACTTTTCGTTTTCACTTCACCCTTACCTGGCAGTAGTTATGCTGCATGCATGTTGTTGATTACCTTCTTATTGTATGGCTCAGTGAGTGATCCGAGCATTGTGCGTGAAGGTAGTGTTTGAAAAATGTCTAAATAAAACTCCTCATAATTGGTGATTATCGTATGTCTAGGCACTTTCTGAAAAACGTTGCTCGCTCTGATTTCTACGTGAATTTAAATGTTTAAGTGAATATTCACAAAATAATGTTGGTCGCTTGGCTCTTGATTCAGTTTTCCGATTGCTTTTCTGAATAACAGTTAACTGGGAATAAGGGCTTTTCATCCTTCCAGTTAGGTTTCACCTGCCACTGGTCTTTTGTTGCTTGCTTTCCTTATCGCCATTAAACTGTGTCCGATTCCATTGTATTTCATGTTGGATTGAACCACTTAGTTTTGTCTATTTCAGCTGCCCTCTATGCCCACGGAACTGTCGTACACTGAACCGACTTCGACACCATTTAACCACTTGTCACGCGGACACGCTAGCCTCAGCCATTCAACAAAACACAGATGTTCTTGTCAGTCCACCGTCGTCCACCAATCCTCCTGATGTTCTCCCAACGCCAACCACGATCACTACTGCCGATGCATCCCTTCGTCCCACAGGTCCTTCCTTACGAACTGACTTGGCCACCGGTACTACAACGGTTTCCCAGCCAAAACCGGCGTTATTCTTACTCCATGTGGAGGGTACTGTAGATCCTAAGTCTATTGACTCGAATGTGAGACTTAATGGTGATACGCGATCAAGTGAACAGACCGAATCAGCGTTGTGTTGTGAATTTTGTGGTAGAACGTTTCAAAAATTAAAATTTTTCGAAGATCATCGTGTCATGTGTAAACAGGTAAGCATCTCTTCGTCGATTTCTTAGTCTTCATTGAACATTCGATTTTCCGCAGTGTTTGTCAAGGCCTAAGCTTTTCTAGTTTTGTCGGAACCATTCAGAAAGCAATACATGATTATTTTGGGGCCGTAAAGATTGGTTGCTACATGTGTTACGCATATTGCCTAAGAGATGGATATGTCATGTGATTTTTGCTGAGACAGGTTGTGCAGTGGAAATTATCAAGCTTATTACGGTGACCCCCTTTAAGAGATATGGACGTTTAGGTTGCGTTAGACCACGATAATCGATTCGCATGAATGGATGCCGTAAACGTTGGTAATTGCGTATCTACCGAATGTCGCTCTTCAACCTTAGTCTGCCCGAAGTCGGTGTTTCCACTTTGATCCTGCTTGCAATGCTCCAACCTTCTCTTTAGTCTTTCGTTCAATATGCAACCCAAAGTCGGCCTCACAAATGTGTATGATTAAAAGTTCTTTTAAACTGAAAACTGAACGTATGATCCACTAGTTTAACTCATTCTAGAAATGTATTGGCTGCTTTTCGTATGAAGAGCCTATCCTTCGCCACAATGACTAGGAATGATCACGCGAATTCTCGGCGTATTCATCGTGTTTGCGCTACTTCTTTTATCTACTTCATTTTGAGGAATTTATGCTACATTCCTTGAAGCACTGCTTAAGCAATGCCTGCTTGTTAGAGGAGCAATGTTTATGGGGTATAGTTCGAATGTCGTTTTCCACCAACGTCAACACATCTCTTCTTCGTTGGTTTCTGTCTATTTGCAGCCATTGATTTGCACCATTTAGTTATGTCCCAATTCTAAATTAAACTAAACAGTTTAAGGTTATTGGCAATCACTAAATATCATCGATTCGTAAACGGGGCAAGTGGGCTGACCCCATCTTCACAGGAACTATTTTGAAGTGAGAATAATCAGCGGTCTATGTCCTGGGTTTGATTCGATGTGCACGCCTGTTGTGGTGCTTACGTTGTTTCCCATACGATTGCTTATGCTTTCCTTTAAAATCAGTTGTTTTCGAAAAGATGTCTCTTAGTTCATTTATCACCTTTTTCCGTACTCAGGCTATTCATGAACGCGAACGTCGTCAACGTCTTCGATTGCATCGTCAGATGGGATTTCGTGACACAGATGAATTCATACCCTCATCCACCGAAACAACTCTATCTGTACCTATTTTTTCTTCCTGGACCTCGTCAACTGAGGCCCCACGTGAATTGGCGGATTCAGATCGTTCTGACACAAACCAGATCACTCCCGGTCTTCGTAGATCTCAACGTGTTCGGACGTCTCGTGTTTTGTTGACTGGTACGAAACATCGAACTAGGCGGAAAAAGCAAACGGAACAGCAGTATACCAGCGAAGTTGCAACGATGACGACAACAATAGCGACAGATACCTCTAAAAACAGTCATTTGTTTAACTCATTGTCTTTCGAGCCTCCCACTTGCATTCCACTGTCTCCCTCCACTATTCCGACAATTCCGTCCAATCCCGGTGCTGTATCTGATGGCGTGTTGTAAAAACAAACAATCTCTGACATCCAGCTTCCCGGTTTATTCCTTGACTCACGGAATGTACCACGCGTCATTATGCGGATTTCGTCTTTCAATCAGATTAATCTTTATCATTCTTCTAATTCTTCTAGATCGTCAACGGATTTGCTTCTTTGTTGGTCCTCATCTCGACACAATCTATCGGATTGCATTTACTGATTTTCCGACTCTCCATTTCATACAAAAGGTGGCACCTCGTTATACCTGTTGTAATATAAAGCAAGCTTGTGATAGTCGAATAAAAACCTGTTTTGTTCATTTTTTCCTTCTCCACTGTTAGTTCGATATGCTTGTACGATATCTACTGCTTTGTCCACCACTGAATCTTGTCCCACGAGACATTTTCCTACGATTTCTAGTCATAAGACAATTGTGAAACGATGCAAGCGTTGATCGAAAGCGCAGAAAATCTGAGTTTAATAATGGGAAGCGTGCTATATTTATAGGACAGCCTAGATTTTCCTCACATGCAAACTACGAGAGCACTGATGTAGCCAATGAGGCAGTCAGCTTGCAGTATTCTATCCTTGGTTTCCGCCAATCAAGAAAACCGGGAATTTCCCACGACAGCGTCCAAATCCATTTCCCATAAACTGCGGGAATTTTCAGGGAGTAGTAGGCTTTCCCCAACTAATCGTTTGTTTTTTCCCTTGCTTGGTTGGAACTTGAGCGGAGTTTGTGAACTCATTACAGTGTATTCACATCGGCCGTTAGTGATTGAAAAGACGAGGCCCGCAAATGCATCGGCGTATATATTGTAAGTCACATGACTGTTCTTCGTTTTAGTCCATAACAGTCGGTTAAGGAGAGGTGTTATCGAAGCATGTTATTCAGAAACAAAATCATGGATTTGAGATTTCAAAATGCACTCCGATGGCAAGCTAATTAATGTCACACTACGTAGAGTCCTGTCGGGGCCTCCTCTCACTAGTGCACTATCGTTCGATCAGATACACATGAGAATTTTCTGTTCTAATTCTTGTTTGTGCTGGATTGATAATTCACCGTCTATCCGGACAAAATCATGTACGTGCTGATAAGATATTGCTTGTCGTCTGAATAACGGCAAAATGGGTCACTATCTAATAGGGGTAAATCATCAAGCTATAGGATGGATGTGCTTTTAGGTTGACTGGAGTGGTGAATCCCATTAGGGTCTATTACGATCGATGTAATGTTAAGCCCAGCTGAACCGCCTACTCCAAAATAGGATGAAAATAGTAGGTTTCGTAACGCGGGGAGTAAAGCGCGCCAGTGACAGCAACTTGAGCTATTTTTATCGCTACTAATGCCATCTCTTGCCTGGTTTTGTCAATGTTTAACTTACCCTCTTATCCAATGGACTGAATCCTACGTTCCTCAGTTATTCCAAAACAAGGATTTTTAGAACTGCTAAATAATACAGATGAAGTGTCCATGGTCGGACTAGAATGTGGTACAGTGTCTGCACGTTATACTGGTTTTTATGAAGAAAAGTTTTCGAATGGTAATTCTGCCTCGGTCATGTTTTGTAAGCCACTCAGGATTCGGTCCAGTCATTTCCTTTTTGTGTGACATGATCAGCCCAGAGGTTTTGTCTGTTTCAGTGTCTGATCAGAATTGGAACCGGGGGAAGGATTTTGTAAATCGATTACAGGAACCCAAGCAGTAGTTTTCCTAATCCATTAGGGATTAGTGCAATATCACGCCTAAACTAGCGGGTCCTTATGTGGTTCGCCACTCCAAGCCCCGGAGACCGGCTTCAATCCATGAATAACAGGTCCTTGTGACTATGGGATTTACCGTCTTCCTCGACCTGAAAGCGGCTTTCGACTCCGTCGATCGCTCTGAACTCTGGTGCTGTCTTTCCCTGAAGGGGTACCCGAGAAGCGTCTTTCAATATTATCATCCCTGTACAATAATAGCCGAAGCCGAGTCCGAGCTTACGCTACTTTTTCACCCGAGTTCACCATGGAAAATGGTGTTCGTTAGGGTTTCCTTCTCTCTCCGTTTCAGTTTAGCTTTGTCATAGGTTTAATTCCTGAAGCAGCCCTATTCTCGTGCGAGGATAGCGGTATCGAGTTGCTTCCGGGTGGCAGACTCTCTGATCTAGAGTATGCAGTCTACATTGTGCTACTAATTGAAAATCCAGGTAAGTTACAAGCTTTTCTGGATAGTTTGAGTGCTAGCGTGTCCATGTTCGGTATGCGTTTTTCACCTTCAAAGTGTAAAATACCACTACAAGACTGGGTTGATCCAGCACCGAGCCTCACTATAACTGGAGAAGTAATAGAGCAGGTGGATAAGTTTTGTTATCTGAGCAGCTATATGTCACCCGGTGGACGCATCACAGATAAAGTGTCAGCTCGCATACAGAGGGCTCGGTTGGCATTTGCTAACTTCAGACATCTGTGGCGTCGTTGCGACGTCCGGCTGTCTGTGAGGGATCGAGTATATGCTACAGTAGTTCGATCAGTTCTGCTATACGAAGGAGAAACTTGGCGAATACGGGAACAGGATAAAAATAGATTGTCGGTGTTCGACCACCGCTGTCTACGCAGCATTGCACGAATCTGGTGGGGCAGCCGGACGAGTAATGCTGCAGTTAAGTGCAGGGTTGCGGGTACTTACGGTCGCCCACTGGTGCAAGTGGTCAACCTCCGCAGATATCGTTGTTTGTGACATGTGTCACGCATCCCACCGTATGGTTTGCCACGGCGAGCGATGTTTGCCGAGACAGGTAGTGGGTGGAAGAAAGCCAAAGGTGGTCAAGCTAGGACCTGGCACAAGGGTTTGAAAACTCTAACGAGGGGTCTGGGTCACATCGATCCCGTTAGGCTCCCTGGCTGGAGACCTCGGGATGATTGTATTTGATGGTTAGAGACACTGAGTGGTGTGGCTGAGTGTCGTAAGCAGTGGCGTTCGTGCATCTTCTCAATTTCTTTACAAACCTAAACCATTGGAATTCGCCATTTTCTGTTCGACTCTACTTCAAACCTTCCTGGATTCTCCTATTCTTTATCCAAATGGGCAGCCAAAAGACAGTACCCAAAACCGGCGGGCGAAAATGCACGGTTGATAGTTGTACAAACTGATTTGAACTGAGCGAAATGCAAAGGTAAGGCATAAAGTTTTAGGTTATTGAGGTCGTCCACTGGATCAAGTGATCGACCTTCATAGATTACGGTGGTTGGGACATGTGTTACGCATGTCACAAGCAAGGTTGCCACAGCGGGCGATGTTTACTGAGGCGGGTAGCGTTTGGAAAAAAATCCAGGGCTGTCAAACTAATACCTGGCATGAGGGTATGAAAACCCTAACCAGGAGACTGGGTCCCATAGGTCCCGTTAGACTCCCTGTATGGGCACCCCGAGATCATAATCACCAGTGGTTAGAGACACTGAGCGATATGGCTGGGTGTCGCAAACAGTGTCGCTCGTGCATTTACTCTTTATTCTTCTAACTTCAGTCTGTAAATGCGCTATCTTCCGCTTGAATCTGCTCTCGACGTTCTAATCTTCATTCTGCTGTTTTATCCAAATAGGTAACCAGAACCGGCACGTGAAAGTGCTTGGTTAACGGTAGCAAGAACTAAACTGAATTTAGTTGTTCATCGCACTAAACGTGTGTAATAAAATAATTTAAATGGCTGCACAAGTGCGAATTTTTGAATGCCTATCTGGAGTCTGTTCACCGCCATTCGCTGCTCTCATTCTGCTCCCGTACGGTTCACACGAGGCATCGTTTCACACTCTCTTCAGGACCCATTTTTGCTATACATATGTTGTTTTCCTCAAACGATGAAAATCCCCTATACACAACAATTTCCGCTTTACTAACCATTAATCTAGCACTGTCTTGCNGCTTTCGTCCTTCTTCTTGCTTTTTATGCCTTCTCGGTGCAAGTGTGCTGCACGTGAGGTCGCCGTCCCACTGCTAACTGCACGTGCCAGCCCGGCGTTGACATTCGAACTAATCGCGGAATGCCCAACAAGCCGAGCTCGTCGTGCTCAACTGTGGTTACCTCACTGCCCGGGCGGGCCAGTTGAGACACCAGTTTTCATGCCTGTGGGTACACAAGGCGCAATGAAAGGAGTCACTGTGGCGCAGTTGGAAGCGTTAGATTGCCGCATCCTGTTGGGTAATACGTATCATCTCGGCCATCGACCTGGTCCGGAAATTATGCGCAAGGTCAGTACCAGTAACTGTATTTCCTCTCACTACGTTCACGCTTTGCGGAAGATTTCCTTTCTCATCATACTGGGGAAGATTTGAGTATGTGACTGTGGGAGCTGTCGTCCCCTCCGGGACTGGGTAATTGTGTTTCTTATCTGGCACTTAAATGTCACAAATTGGCTTCAGGGAGTCATCTGTCTGCGTTGGCATTCGCCTTTTAGAAGGCCTCTCTTTCAGTGGACTGCATAAGGCAAGAGGAGTTCTTAACTGAACTCTTACCTTTGGCTCTCTTCTCTCCATACAAAGATAACTTCGATTGAATAAACGGTAAAGGTTGGTGCTTTTTTAATTCAGTTGCCAGGACTTCCGGCATGACACGGTCATCAGGTTGACAGGTTCTTTTGAATGTTGTTTATAATATTGCTTCACTCATTGGACACTCGTTTCTTCTCAGGCTCACCCTAATTAACGAATATATACTTAATTGGTGGTGTGGGTTTTATTGGGATCACACGCCGATCGGTGGTTGGTATTTTTTCGAGCGTAAACCTCATACGAATCAAATGGCCAGGGAGAGGCGCTGATCGATTGATCACATTTAAATAATAAATCAATACAATAAATGTTTTGCTTACTCCTATATTAGTTGAGCATACAAATGTACCGTCAACTTACAGGAAGCGGTTGGTAGTTATGCAAAGGCTGTAAATACATGAACCGTTAGAATGGACGATGGTAGCGGGTTTCGAAGTGATGATCTTCAGGTCATCTTTGGCGACTTTACCCACTTGACCAGCGTCGCCTTACCTGTTGCTGATCCAAGTGGTAGCTCTCTGCCATATGACTTGTATCATGTTTTCCACAAAACAGAAGTCATCTGAACTGAAAAATGGAAATTCACTACTATACTATTGTTTCCGTTTTGTGAAAAATATTTAGCGGTTTAAATTCGTCAGTTTGCTGGGGATGATATTCCTAACCATTTAGTACCTGATCAGATCTATTTTCTTGGCCTGTGAATGCAGCGATGCAACCACTGTGTTGTTTCGTTTTTAAAATTCGCCCTGATTTTTATGTTTCATCTCTACTACTTGCAAGTAATGTGAATGCAATTCGAATGAAGTAATCGTCCGTTGTCGAAAACGGAATATTGAAAACTGAAAAGTATACCGCACTTTATGTTATAAATGGCTACGCAAACATGGAGTATTCTTAATTTTGTTAGTAATTTGTTCATGACCATAACGGAATCATGTATGTTTTTTGCATAACCAAGTTAATTTGACAAGGGATTTCGTGGGCATTATTTCAACCTTTGCCAACCAATCGCATCCGCGTTTTCGAAAGTTTGATTTTAAATTTATTTGAATATCACATAATCGTATTCCGAATCTAAAACCCCACTTGGTAGTCATTCGATACCGTTGTTTTCGAGTCTTCATTCAGCCGAGGTCTTGTATTATTTCTCCCGTTTTTCATGCTTTGCTCGCAGGCGGGTGGACTGCACAAATTCATGGCCTGGCCCCGCGCCATTCTTACCGACTCTGGCGGGTTTCAAATGGTTTCCCTCAGTGATCTGTCTTCGGTGACCGAGGAGGGTGTGCACTTCACTTCACCGCACAATTCCACACAAATGCTTCTGACCCCGGAAG